ATCATTGTGGGGTCGTAGTGGGTCGTTGTGGGGTCGTAGTGCGGTCGTTGTGGGTCGTTGTGGGTCGTTGTGGATCGTTGTGGATCGTTGTGGGTCGTTGTGGGTCTTGTATGTTTTAGTAACTACGATCGAATTTCATGTAACACCATTACATTGTGAAACGTCGCCAAACATTGTCCTGTGGGACGCTGCGTTTGATGTCCTTGTGAATAAGGTCTGCTAAACTGCCGCATTGAATAATATATATGTTGATCAGTTGATATTTTTTATTCATGTTGAAACGCCTTAATCTAACTATAAAAATTTGTTATGGATTTGAAATTTAAAATTTTCCTTCAAAGTGAAAATGATATTCCGGCATTCAGGTGTTCCGGCATTCCGGTGTTCCGGCATTCCGGTGTTCCGGCATTCTGGTGTTCCGGCATTCAGGTGTTCCGGCATTCCGATTTATAAACACATATCCCCGAGGTGCCTCAAAATAACGTACTTATTTTTCACATTGCGAGGTCGCGTTAATGAGTCAGAATAAAAATAATTCTTAATGCCATATTGCCTTCGTTATGTTGTTTTTTTTTCTCATTTTTTGTGCTGCAAAGACATTGCAGGTGAATATTAGAGGGGATTATTAAATGGAAATTGATTAGAGGGGAATATTGAATATATTCCCCGATAACAACAAAGGAAACCGAGCAGGGTGAAAAATAAGTTCCTATATACCTATGAAATTCCATCAGCCCTGATTCCAGCCAACATTCAAAACCAAATGAACCTTTATGTTAAAGATCATATAAAGGTACATATTTCTTTATATTTGCAACGTTAACGTTTTGAGCAGTTTATCCCATCTTCAGGCTTTTATTAGAGAGGTCCAGAGTTGACTTCCACTCACGCGACCAATTTCAGGGTGGAAAGTTTGTTTAGGGTGCGCCAAATATTCACTCCAGGCTCAGAAACATGCGCCATGCAGTGGCAGTTGTAAAGCATGTTTTCCAGTTTTTTTACGTGCCGCCTAGGGGCGCACATTCAACAAATTGCTGGGGGGGGGGGGGGGGGGGGGCTCGGACGATCTGGGACCGACTTTCTTACACTATATAACCAGTGGCAGCGGAACAGGTTTTATTTTGGGCCGATCAGTTCCTGCTACGTTGGGAACCATAGTTAAGATTTTCAGCAGACGGCGGTGAAAACTGGGGAGGGATTTGCAAAATTGAGGGAGTGCCATTTCCTGCACTTTCCGGCACGTCTTCACGGACATCTGTCAGGCTTGTGGATTTTACATTAATTATGAATAGCTAAGGACCAAAACATGAACCTCTCGGGAAGAGAGAACATGGCTTTCAGATAAACCCCGCATTTTACCAAGATATTGTCATACTGACTTTTTGGAACCAAAAAATATTTATTAGCAACTTTTAACAAATACAAAATATACTATATATAGTATTAAATTGTGTCATATGACATATAGTAATTAAATAAGTATACGTAATATCTTCAAAGTTATTATCTTGATTGTTCCGTTTCGTAATCCGTTTCGTAACTTTGATCGATGTTCTGCATTTGTTTCAAAAGTCAAGAAACACAAAAACAGAACAGCGACACAGGTCGTCGATGAAATTTCTCTGACTTTGTTTTCTCGACTTTCTCATCCTTCAAATATTTCTGATTCTTAATGTCAACTTTCGTCTTTTTCTTCCCTTTGTAATTTTCTTTTTGGATTACATTTATCATGTTCTTGCTCACCGTTATTAAATATAATAATATAATGTTATATCGTGAATGTTCTGCCATTCAGAACAAGTATGTCCACTTGATGGTAATGGACAGCCATCGTTCCAGATCTCAACATCAGATAATTCAACCGTGTTCAGTTCATCATCACGTGATTTGGTGTCATCATGAACCAACGTTGTGGGAGTATCTGTACTTGAGGCAGCAATAATTAGGCTCGTCTCCTACATCGTTATAGTGTCATGCTTCCATTGTTGGGAGGGACTGGATATGAAGTGTTGTTCTCTTCGAAGGTTCTTTGATTGTAGCAGGCATTCCATCAGAATTATGACAGCAAAGTCGTATGGAAAATCATTCACTGAAGTTGTGTTTTTGTTTCCAGAAATATTTTCATCTTCATTATTCTAAAACAGTATATAATTGAACGTTGAAGAACCAGGGACATCGTCAGTACTGCCAACACAGGTATATTTAGTGTTGAAGAATCAGGGATAATACCTAGATGTTTCCAACCTGAACGTCAATAAAAAAGAAATTATGTACGTAAAACATTAAACAATTGAAAGAAATATATTAATGTGGTTTGCGCTCTAGGCTATAGCACTTATAATCAAAACTGAAAGTTTGCGCGCGCGTTTGAAATCGATCACGGGGGGACTGATGAAATGGTTGCATAGAAAAACTGAAACAACACAGGCGGATCAAAATCACGAGCTCGTGTCTTGTTTTTAATTCTGCAAGTTGCACGCATGCACAAATTTTCCTATTCAGGCGCGCTTGTCGTTTGCTCGCCGCACAAGAGAATTTTTTTGTCACGAATGACGAAAAATATCAAACATGTTTGATACTTGGTTTACATGTCACGAATGACGAAAATGCCGTAAATGTTGCCCGCACACGAGGAAATTTTGTCGATCCAACTTGTCACGAATAACAAGTACGCGCGACAAGTGCGCTCGTGTGCTGCGGGCTTAAGGGAAAAAATAGTGTTTATCGTTTCACAACAGTTTTTAGCAACTAATATGTTTCCTCAGTAAATTTTGTATTCTCAAAGGTATCAAGTAAATTATAAAATGAATCTTTCTTAGTTCAACAGGTACTCAAAAATTTCGTACTTATATTGAATGCGCGCACATGCAGGTACGTTTATCCCCATCCGTGTTTCAGTCCCCTATCCGTGATTTATCCCCCATCCGTGTTTTATCCCCCCGCCATCCCTGTTTTATCCCCCCATCCCTGTTTTACGTGCCATCCGTGTTTTATCCCAACCCCGATGGTAATGCAGAAATTTTACTGATGAATTATAAAATACAATATTTTGTTTCACTAAAAATCTGCAGTCTACCGATGTTTGGGGATTCGAACCACAGATCAGTGATTCGAACCTACGGATGCATAGCATTAATTTTCAACTAATTATTGATGGATAATGCTGAAATTTTACTGACGAAAAAATGTTCAGTTCATTTTTATTTTGTTTAAAAAAAATCTATAAATTAACAACGAATTTCCGAAATAGGTATTAATCGCTTCGTAAAATGTTTTGAATTCGAAATTCTTCAAAGTAAATCTGTTGATTTGAATTGTTGCAATTTACAAGAAGAGAACCAGAAGCAACCTCCGTCGCAGGGACTTTCCACCCTGGGTACGAGGATGAACCGGAAGTTCATCTCAGAGGCATTGGTTCGGTTCATAACTTTTGACGATATATCATCCTTGAAAACAGGAATGTAATAAGTTCTTTGAATGTTTGCATGGCGATCAGGCCTGCAATGCCTGCATGGCGATAAAATATAATTGTTTTTGTTTGTGGAAACACAATTTACGTGTAATAAATTTACGTGGTGTTTCCACAAACAAAAACAATTAGGAATGTAATAATAATGTTGCTGCCTGACTGTAAACCTACAAATAGTGAATTATTACATTGGCACTCTAATTCTATTAACCGTGATTGGCACAAGAGGTCAAAATATCTTTTATTAATATCTGGTGATTTCCAAAGTTGCAAATATTGGACTAACTTGAAGGAAAAGTGAATAGGCGAAATATTTTATAGGAATTTCTGGCAAAAACCAAGGAATTATACAGCTTTTGCCAAGGAATTCTCAAAGATTCTCGCGCGAAATATCATTCATATTCATGATTCATCCGTAGTATCTAGTTATTTTTCTGAGAACAATGTCTATATGCAATGCGTCGGTTTAAAGAGAATTCAAGCGTTAAAATTCTTTAATGAAACATTTCTTGGCGTTTGATCGATGCTCAAAACTCTTTCTTTAAATGTTTCGGGGCTACAGTAATTCGTAGCCAGCTTTAAATGGATATCCAGTTGTTTTTATCTCAATTTTGATCGTTCGAAAGAGCCAATTATAGTGAGTATAAATTTTGAACAGTTATTTTGTTTGTAATTTCTACAATATCTGGGCGTTGATTCTGTGATCTACAGCAAACAATTCATATTTTCACGCACATTTCACATTTAATAATACTGCACGCATTTATATTAATAGACCAGCAACGACAGAATCTTATTCTTATTAAACATGAGTACTACAGCGCAGTTTTGTATCAATCTTTTACTCGTACATTTTTAAGCAAATGGCAACTAAAGAGGAACCAAATTCCGGGAAATTTATCAAGATTTGTCTCAAGTTATCACGGGAAACGCCACCAAATAAACTGAAACAGCTGAAGTTCTTGCTTCAAGATGTCACCTCAGAAATAAATGATATTCATGACCAGAAATTATTTTTGGATTTGATTAGTAAGTTGGAAGCTCAGGGAATCCTAAACAGGAAAGCACAAGGACGAAATGAAGCCTTACTACTATGCGAGTTGTTTGATGCAGTTTCATTGCATAGCCTAGCTGATGAGATATGTTCAGAGTTTGCGATTGAGAGAGGTATTATACATGAACATCATATATTTGTGCATTTTCCCACAGTTTACTTTGGCAGCATGGGTAACTTTTAAAAGGGTATTTAGAGGCATGTATTTATTCAATTAGACAGACAGTCAGCCAAACTGTCAATCAGACAGTAAGTCAGTTGGCTGGCCGGCCACACACAGTCAGTTGGTTGGTTGGTCAGACAGACAGTTGGTCAGCAGGTTGGTCAGGCAATTGGACGGTCACTCAGGTAGTCAATTAGATATTCACTTAATTGGTCACCAACCAGTCAGATGGTCAGTTGGGTTAGACAGACAATCAGTTGCATGGTTGATTCGTAATCAGTTAGGCAGGCACTCGTTTATGTCAGGCAGTCAATCATTTTTGTCAGGCACTAGGCAGTCAATCAGAGAGTTGGTTGATCAGTTAGTTGGTTGGTCAGTCGGTTAGACAGTGAGTGAGTTGGTTGGTCACTCAGGCAGTCAATCAGACAGTCGGTTGGACTGTTGTCTGTCAGATGGTCGAATGGTCGGTCAGTTGGTCATTTAGTTGATCAATTAATCGATCTCATTTTTTGTTAATATCTAAGTGAAACAATGCTGGTTGGAGATCAGTAATATGATTCCAGGTTCCATAATACACCATTCCGAAAAGTATGTCACTTTGACTATAGAGTCTCAATGCCTCAATCATGTAAAGGAGGCTCTGTAGCTAGCCAAGGTGACATACTTTCTGGAAGCGTATATTCATGTAGTTACCTACCTTTGTTTGTTCAGAGATGTACCACACACTAAAATTTGTTAAGTGTAAATTGGCCTTTAGGAAACTGCAAAAAATGGAAAACTAGGGAAGAATTTTGTTCTTAATTTAAGAAATTATTTCTTTGTTTGAGACCATGGTTCTTGTTTAAAGATATTTTATCTTGTTTGTAGAAGTTTATTCGATCTTGGCTCAGAGGCGTAGCCAGGGCTGGGACCGGAGGGCCTGCCACCCCCCCCCCCCGGCAAAATTTTGGGGGCCCCCTGATAAAATGTATTGTACTAGTAAGGGTACCTGCAAGGTAGGGATTGCTGCGGGCACCTAGAGCAAATAGAACTAAAAATAGTACAAATTACATAAAGCATACAGTTATTACTCGCAGCGAGCCGGCGACTTGTGAGCACTGTGGTCGGAGCTTAAGGAATACGGAATGGATTCATGCCATGAGTGTCTGAGAAAAAGCAATGCATTTGTTGCCAAGACCATGCACGGGTTCAAGAGCAATCACAGATTATAGATAGGCGTGTTAATGTTAATGTTAATGCTAATGTTTATGGAAGTAATATTCACTAAATCATAAGCAAGAATATATACCATTTTCAAGATCAAGTGGAATTTGTTGAATTTGATACGCGCTGCTCTAGTACGCGTATAAATACAAACGACAAAGCAGGAATTCTTACAGTGCATCTACAGTAAGTGGGGGCCACTTAGAGAACACTAGCCAATCACATTGCAGAACAAAAATTGAAAAAAATCAACAAACGGCGCATTAGCCAATCAGCATTAGGCCAAAAACAATTTGAACAAATAAACGATTGTCAAACAGTGAAAATAGACTTGTAAAAGTAAACACTGCAGTTAAACGCTTCCTGAATCTTTCTTTTGATTGGACGAGCTTTAGTTTGATTAGATCATCTTTTTGTTCTGCAATGCGATTGGTTAGTGTTCTCGCGCACTGTAAGACGTACAGGTGAATTATATAACACAAGTTTTTGCTATCTGATTTCATATAATTAAGTCTAATACTGCTAGGCGCATTTACCATATTGTATACACAGTATTAAACTAAGAAACCAAAACTTTATAATAAATTAAAATATAGAACTTACAGTGGTCAAAGTCCATTGAGTGAACAACGCACGAAGTGCAGTCATGTTATTTTATACACTAAATTATGGCCTTTACAGGGCTTAAAACTTTACTAAACCTTACGCTGAGTGCCTGAGTCAAAACATTTACAAGTCGAAAAAGCAAAACAATTAACAATTATTCGCCGAAGGCGAGGTGATTGTCGGGGAATATTCGCCGAGACGAAGTCGGGGTGATTATTCCCCGATAATCACCGAGCCTGAGACGAATAATTGTTTTAGTATTTTTGCACAAGTTTTTTTTGTGTTTTTTTTTTGTCTGAATTCATTTTAATTTCGCTTATTTCTTTATCACTAACTTCAACAAAACGGCTAGCCGCCATCTTGAAAATTTCGATTTTGTTATATTCACCTGTTATAACAGATTAATACGTCAAATTTGACCAATCACCTTCTAGGATTTGTTATGTTCACTTGTGCAAAAATACTAATAAACGATATCCTTCAAATACGCCTCAAATATTGTATGTCGTACGTTATTTTGTGTTCTGCGCATAGCAAGCGCACACGACCACATTACAATGCGCTAAATAAAATTTACTTCAAAACCCCCTCTGTGCCCATATTAGAATGCTGCTTCGCTCGCTCGCTTCAGGCTCGCTCGGTACGCAGCAATAAAAAAGGGAATCCTTGATTATATAGCTTCAAGTTGAGACGCGTCGGGAAATTGTCAATGTTGTCGGAGTCTTTGTGGTGAAGCATCGGAAAAAGTGATACGGAAATCGGGAAAAGTGCTACGAAAGCAATTGTGATTTCCGGAATTTTTTTTTTACCAAAAAAGGTGTCGAAGGGGGGGGTGGTCGTCGAGATTTAAAATGTTGTGGTCCGGAAGATTTTTTTGGCCCCACCTGGGTTTTTGTGCCCCCCCCTGACCAAAAATCCTGGCTACGCCTCTGTCTTGGCTAGAAAAATGGAAATTTTTTTTTCTCAAATTACGACTAATTTTCTTGGCGCAAGAATTTTTAAGATTATAAATCTTTTTTCTGAGAAAAAGGATGTAGATATATAATCGTCAGTCATGAAATATTATCGCTTCAAGATAATTTTTCTTAGTCTAAGAAAAAAATCTTATATTGTTGGAGGCGAGAAAAAGTAAGTTTTCTTGTTTTAACATAAGAGTTTTGGATACAAGATTTTTTTCTTCTCGCAAGGTTTACAATGTAAAAATATATAATTTATCATTAACTGCTGACTGCAAGGTTACGCCCTTTGTTTTGTTCTTATTTTTGACTTTAGAAGGGCTTCTAAACTTTGCCACTTTTGTAACTTCATGACAATGAAACAATAATTGCTTTGCGTAATATTATAACATGTATTATACTGCCACAAGAACTTCAGGTGGCGTACCCTAATTCGTGCAGCATCAGTGCAAACTATGCAACACGCATATATAATATAGGTTTTAACTGTAGCTTGATTTGTTCGATTTTGTAGTATTAAACATTGTTATAGTCATAAGATATGTTATAATATACGCTGTTTTTATTCTTAATTCAAGAATAATATTCGTATGCAAATAGGAAACAAATCTTAGTAAGGGCCCTTAGTAAGATTTATAATATTTTTTCTATTTCACGCCTGTAAAAATGCATGCAAAAGCGCGAATATATGCTTCAATTTTTATCCTGTTTCTACTAAATTTCCCATGATTCATGAACATAGTAGTGTAGAACATATCATTCTTTAGCCTACCAAAACAGCCGCTACTTTGCTGCTGACTTTTTATTAATAGGAGCAGCAAAGTAGCGGGATCTATTCTAAAAGACCACACGAGTCAGAACACGAGTGAACACGAGACAACACCAGTGAACACGAGTGAACACGAGTCAGAACACGAGAACACGAGCACGAGTCAAAAATTTGTGAACACGAGTCAAAAATTTGTGAACACGAGTGAACACGAGTCAAAAACTGACGAACACGAGTGAACACGAGTCAAAAATGACGAACACGAGTGAACACGAGTCAAAAATGACGAACACGAGTGAACACGAGTCAAAAATGACGAACACGAGTGAACACGAGTCAAAAATGACGAACACGAGTGAACACGAGTCAAAAACTGACGAACACGAGACAAAAACGCATTCTTAAAGAGGCTCCCTACAGTTTTAAGCCCGTGATGAAGATCTGTACTGTGTAATTGCACGCGGGTTTCTTGGCGGCCCACAGGATGTTGGATTAATAATTATTAATAACAATTATTCGCCGAAGGCGAGGTGATCATCGGTGAATAAAAACCGAGACGAAGTCGAGGTTTTTATTCACGATAATCATCGAGCCTGAGGTGAATAATTGTTTTAGTATAATTTCATAGGTGAATATTT